ACCAGCCTTGACCTCCCAAAGTGCTGGGATTACAAGCATGAGCCAGCATGCCCGACCTAAAGAGAAGATTGTGATTCAGTAGGTCTGGGGTGTAGCCTGAGACTCTGCATTTAAGTGCCGGGAGATGCTGTGCTGCTGCACTGCAAAGCTCTGGGCCACATGAAGAGTCGGTGACTCTGCCTTTTCCTCCAGCTAAGCAGGTCGTACCCAAAGGCTGGCTCTGGAACTGTTTGGCAAGTCTCTGGGGCCCTTTGAGACTCAGCTCACCTGTAATCACTAGCGCTGTGTGGTGGGTCCACTTCTGAGAGGCCCCCAGATTCCAGGTTCCTGGTGTACACTCACCTTCTCTACTGTCTCTCGAGTGTTCAGTCAAATACTGACTAGGTATCGTTGCTGTGGGATTTTGCAGATATAATTAAGATCTCAGATCTATTGACCTTAAGGTAGAGATTACCTGGGTGGGCTTGATCTACTCATGTGAGCCCTTGAAGCCTGAGTCCAGGTGTCTGAGGCAGAGCAGTCAGAGACATGGCAGGAGAGGGTTTGACAAGGGAGATTGGTCGTGGTTGACTTTGGAGATGGAGAGGGCCACATGGCAAGGGATGTGGGTATCTTCTAGGAGTTGACAGCTGTATTGGCCTGGCAGCTGGCAGGGAAGGAGACCTCGTTCTCCATCCCTGTGAGCTTGTGAGAGGATCCTGAGCTCCACATGAGAACATGTCCTGGCTCACTGCATTGATTTTTAGCCTGGGATCAGAGAATGCAGCCACCTATGTCTGAACTTGTGACCCACAGAGCTGTTGGCTGGTAAATAAATTAGAGAATGCAGCCACCTATGTCTGAACTTGTGACCCACAGAGCCATTGGCTGGTAAATAAATAGGTGGCATTCGAGGCCATTGAGTTCACTAATATGCTTTATGTCATCTCAAGAGATGTCTTCCTCCTCCCAGGCTTTTGCACCTTCCTGTCACCTGTCCCTCTCCCATTCCCCAGCCAGGGGCCCAGTGGCTGGACAACATCAAGACTGAGCCTGGGCCCTGCGGGAACGGGTGCTCAGGGAGTGTGTCTGTTGCATGGAGTCACTCACCTTGTTTGATACAGTCACTGAGGATTCTTTCGTTATTTGGGTGTGATCTGCGCAATTGGAGGAAAGAGCAGAGCAGATCCGTTCCAAGTCCCACCTCATCCAGATAGAGTGGGAGAAGATGCAGATGGAGCTGAGTCACAAGAGGGCTCGAGTGGAGCTGGAGAGAGTGGCCAGCACCAGTGCCAGGAACTACGAGGTGGGTTCAGGTGCGTTGAGGGTTGGCCCAGCCAGCCCCAGGAAGCAAGGGGACTGCACGGTAACTAGCAGGCTGTAAGAAATCAGATCCCAGCCCCTGGGAGAAAGGGGGCTATGCAGAGTACCTACCAGGCTGTAAGAAATCAGATCCCAGTCCTTGGGAGCAAGGGGGTTGTGCACCGTACCTGTCAGGCTATGAGAAATCCAGAACCCAGCCGGCTGGAAGCCTGACATGCCCTGTGCCACGGTTGCCAGGACATTCCTTCTGAGGCCACTCATGCTGGGGCCCAGGTATAAGTTATGCTTGATGTCCTAGAGAAGGGTGGCATGAAATGGGGACAATTGCGAAGGGTGGCCCCTTGCTGTGTCTGTTCAGTGAGGCTGCGGCACTGGCACACAAACCTCCTGGTTTCGTCTTCCCTCTGGAAGAACTGGAAGGCAGGTCTGGCAGAAATGCCGAATGGTTTAGGAGTGACAGGCTTAGGAGCTCACGGGGTGGAATGGGTTCTTGGGTCTATGCTAGGCCTTTGGGTTGGAGGGCTGTAGCGAGGAGTGCCGGCCTCAGTGGCAGCTGGGTATTGCTCCTGGCTTGCCCAGGGCAGTAGGGAAAGCTCCTTGTCCTTGGGGCGGGAATTAGGTTTCCACTGAATGTGCCGATCTTCTCTGCTTTGATTAACAGCACTTTGCCAGGGTTTCAGTAAGTGCTGATCAGCTGTGGCTGCTGCCAAGGCTCAGGCAGAGCATTGGACGGAGAGTCTCCCGGGCCTCTGTGCCCTTTCTTGCTGGTGGATGTGTCTAGCCCCTCCCCCCGCCGACCTCATGCAGTTTATTCACGCACACTCCTAGGCCCTAGAAAAATAAATAGCTCACGTCTTCTGGGGTGTGATGCTTTTTGGATTCCTTGTCCCTGGCCTGCGGATCCTGGCTGTGGTGTTTTGTGTGGGCTTAGTGAGCCCAAGACACTGCCGGGGTGGGTGCTGCTGCCTCTGGGGTGGCTCCCATGCTGCTTTGAGAGCTGTTTTCCCTGAGAGGTTGGGGCTTTTGCTCATGGCCTGGGTGGGTCCTAGGAGGGACAGTCCTGGTTGAATTGGTGGGATGGGGAGGGAGAGGACACAGGAATCTCCCTGACTATTGAGGTTCCCTGGTTAGGGGTGGAGAGGTGGCACCAGTTTAGTGGCACCATTAGTTTGGAGGTAGCGTGCTTATGGCATGGCTCTGGCTCTAGGGTAGGAGGATGGAGTGTGCAAGAGGGAGAGGACCTGTTGGAAGGTGGCTCCCTTCAGCCACCTTCCAATAGGGCTTTCCTTCCTTGCGCACAGACACAGCCGCATGAGACCCCAAGAACAGTCGGAACCAGTAGTTTTCCAATTGTTCCTTGGAGTTCCTCCTGGAAATACCTATTGGGGGTGAAACCTAAGTGTCTGAAGTCCAGGGACCTGCTGGCTGCCCTGTCTGCACTAGGACTGGCAGCACCAGGCCCAGTGCCACATCTAGCTTGTGACAGTGCTGAGCGGAGCCCTGTGAAAACCCCAGCTATCTTCTTGTTCTGCATCACAGAAGGGTCTCTTGGTTGTGGTGAGACAGCTCTTGCAGCTCACAAGGGCTGGAGTCCCTCCGAGGTGCGGGTCAGCCATCAGAAGGTGGCCACCCTCTGTCACACTTCTCCTAGGTTTTGGGCTGGAGTCCCCTGGACAAGGGTAGCACAAGCACGTACTCTGCCCTGGGCTTCATGAGTGCTTGGCGCTTCCTGAGGAAGGCAGGGCGAGAGGGCCTGGAGTGCCGGGCTCCACCAAGACTCACCGTCTTCACTTCCCGGGACTCCCCTGCCTGGCGGTGAACTCAGCAAGGCCTGTGAGTCATTAGAATCAGGAGATCTGAGCATGGTTCTTGGTTCTGTCCCATCCTAACCAGCGAGAGCCACGTGGCCTCCCCAAGGCCAATCCTGCGGGGTGGCCCTGCAGGTTTGAGTGAGATGCTGTGCATATGTGGCAGAGTTGAGCCCAGTGTAAACTGCTTCTGTCTGCAGCCTCCTGTCCACGCCACCTGTCTCTGCTCCTGTCATCTGCTCGCTGGGGGAGTGCCAGCTCATTTTAGTGCCGGCCAGAGTGTGCTTAGTCAGGGCCTGCTGGTGCTGCAGAGCTCAGCTTCTCTACAAGGTCCATTCTGAATTTCACATTTCCCATGCTCCCTTTCCCTGCAGAGGCAACCGCTGAGCAGATGGTGTGACGAGTGTGTGTGTGATCTGTGCCAAGTGCCCTTCCTGGGAGCCCTGACCTCTTACAGTGCTCACGTCATGGTGTCTCAGTGGGGGCGCCAATGCCTGAGCTGGGTCCCAGGTCCCGTCCTGGCTCTGCCGCTGACTTGGCTGGCGGGTCCTGCTTGGCTCTGTTTGGTGCCTCGGTAGCCTGTTCTGAGAGAGGCGTGGGGGTGAGCACTCCCCGCTGACCCTCCCATGGGCGGCATGTGGCATCTTACTCTTGCTCTCTTGACAGCGTGAAGTTGACCGCAACCAGGAGCTCCTGACGCGCATCCGGCAGCTTCAGGAGCGTGAGGCCGGGGCGGAGGAGAAGATGCAGGAGCAGCTGGAGCGCAGCAGGCAGTGTCAGCAGAGCCTGGACGCTACCAGCAAGAGGCTGCGTGAGAAAGAGGACAGCCTGGCCCAGGCCGGCGAGGTGAGTGGGGCCTCTGCTGGGCTGGGTCCACTCTCCTGAGGCCGTGTTCCCGAGAGAGGGAATGCATGCTCTTGTTTCCCTCTACAGTGCCACCTTTGTGTTTTTAGGTGTGTTTCCCACACGGGCAGCCGTGTTGTTTGCATAGCTGTAATCAGTAGAAGTAGTAATTTTCCATTCTGTAGTTTTCAGTTAAAAAGTTGAGTGTTTGGTCCAGGCATGGTGGCTCACGCCTGTAATCCCAGCACTCTGGGAGGCCGAGGTGGGTGGATCAGCCGGTCAGGAGTTCAAGACCAGCCTGACCAATATGGTAAAACCCCATCTCTACAAAAAATACAAAAATTAGCCGGGCGTGATGGTGGACACCTGTAATCCCAGCTACTCGGGAGGCTGAGGCAGGAGAATTGCTTGAACCCAGGAGGTGGAGGTTGCAGTGAGCCAAGATCATGCCATTGCACTCCAGCCTGGGTGACAGAGCGAGATTCTCTCTCAAGAAAAAATGAACATTTTTTTTCTTCTGTAATTATGAATTTTAACGGTTGATGAATCTGCTTTTTGTCGTTTGTGAATGTTCAGTGTGTTTGCGTTCACTCGTCATATGTATGTGACACGTAGCCCATCCTCTAGCCCTTGCTTTGGACAGACCCCTAGGTTTGGGTCATAAGGTCCCCAGCGATGTCGGTCTCTGTGGTGGTTGCTCTTAGAGCCCTAGTTGAGGGCCCCAGTTTCCCTGCAGCCTTCCCTGTCGTGGATGGTGGTCTTTTCTGGAAATCGTTGTTGTTTTTTCAGGAAACTTAAATAGGCATGTCTGGATTTGCATTTCTTCGACTATTGGCAAGGTCTGCAGGCATCTGATATGGCGTCGGAGAGTTGCCTCTGAACTGGAGCCAGTGTGAACTGCAGTCCATTTGAAGGTTGCGTTTGTTTTAGACACAGCGGACATGGGTGCTGGTGGAAACTGGAGTCTTCTGACCTCTCCTGTGCCTATTCTGTGGCGATCAAGGTCGCTAGTTGCAAAAGGAAACATGAAAATCTGCTGGTGTGGGGGTGGAGGTGTGGGGTTCGGGTGGGGTGGGCGTGCAGCGCCTCATGTGCGTTATCCATCTGCAGCTCTTCTGGAGGGGTCCAGAAGCTTTTTGTGGTTGTTTTTTTGGGCAGGGCTAGGGAGGCGTGTTCAGGTTGTTCCCCCAGCTGCCTCTGGAGGGAATATGGGCAGGAGAGGAGGCGTGATTGGCTCCTGAGAAGCGGCTCTTGCCTTGCCCGTGCTCTGGGTTCCAGGCCCTGTGTGCTGGGCTGTGCCGGAGGCAGGTCGGGGATTCCATGGGGAAGGGTGAGTCGTGCCCAGCACTCCATGAGGGGCAGAGGAGCAGGAGACTGTAGGAGGTGCAGAGTGGTGCCCGGTGGGGTGGGACGCAGTGAAAGGAAGCTCGTCACGTGCAGATGCTGCTGCTGTGCCCTGTCACGTCTAAGCCAAGGTGGCAGCTCCTCAGGAAAGCCTTCCCTGCTCACTAGGCCTTGGCCTCCTTCTCTGGTGACAGGGCCCTGACTGTCACCCTCCTTACTCTGGAATTATCTTATGTGCCTCTTCCTTGCCAACTGTCCTGCGTCCCCTACAACATGGGTGCCCCTGCGGGCAGGTGGGCTCGGCTCTGCATCTGGCTGACCCCTGGCACCCGCTGTGTCTTAAGACCTCTGGGAGGATGTGTTTATTGTTAGTATGTTTTCAATACCTTTCTTCTTTTTTGACTCTCAGGTTGGCCCCTCACTATTGTGGTGAAGTAAACCGTACAGATTGTGGGTGTGCAGGGAGCACGCACAGCCCCACGCGGGCCTTCCCAGAATGGCATTGGGTGGACAGCGGTGATGGGCTTCAGCGGCCCTGAGCTGGGCACGGGTTCTCTGGGACAGGGAAATGAGTGCTGTGGCCTCCTTGTTTGCGGAGGTGCCGCCCAGCCAGGTCCCCCAGGTTGTTTGCTGTGTGAGTTAGCCATTGTCCTGCCCTGGATGCGTGGTCCCCGGGGCTTACATCACCCCATGTGTTTCTGTGTGTTCGCTTACAGCGATGCTTCTCATTGTCCATCTGGCTTTTCACATTGGCTTGACCCGAGAACACCTGCGGTTTTCTGAGCTTTTCTAGGGAGTTAGGGTCCTCAGAAGGTTGGCTGTGGGGAATGATCAGGAGGAAGTGTGGCGGTTTGGTTGCTTGCATTTGCATTCTGTGATGTCAGGAGACCTGCACCTGCTGTCCTGGAAGCTGCTGGAGGGACCGCCTCCCCAGGTGGCTCCTTCCCGTGCCAAGCACTCCCCTTCCAAGCACATGGCCTGCCAGCAGGTACTGCCCAGCCCTCTGCAGAGCCTCCATCTTTGTCCTTTTGGTTGGCCATTACCTTGCTGTTGTTTGAAGGTGGTGCCATTAGCAAACAGCCGGCACAGTAGCATGGGGATGGCTAGGGAGGGATGCCAAGAGCCACGTTTGGAGGGAAGGCCAAAGTGATGGTGTGGCAGGCACGTGGATGCCTGGTGGGACTTTGGGAGTGTGGGGCACTGGCACAGAGACTGCCAGGTGCCAGGCCTGAGAGTCCAGGCCCATCTTGGCTGGTGGGGGCTTTTGCTTCTGAAGCCTCCTCACCAAGCCTCCTTTCCAGGGGACCTGGCTGGGGCCTGGGTGTTTTCCGTCAGCTCTTGGTTGGCCTGTGGCGGGGTCTGAGTTGTGCTGTTCTGGAGCGCCTGGAGAAGGGTGGGCCCTGCATGTCAGCGTTTGCCTGGGTGCATGTCCTCCTGGAGGAGGTAGCTTGGCCCCCTGCTTCCCTGCTCCCCTGACCCCCCTCCCCCCTGTATCCTACCCCCTTGCCCCCTTGCCTCCCGCCCCTTTATTTCTCTGCCTCTGTTCTTCTCTGCTCCTTCCCTCCTGCCCTTCTGCCCCAGCCCTCCTGCTTCTCTGGCCCCTGCCTCCCTGCCCCTCTGCCCCCTGCGGTGCTCATGGTCTTGGCTTACTAAGTGGCTCTCTGGCCCCCTCTGCTTTCAGACCATCAACACACTGAAGGGGAGGATCTCGGAACTGCAGTGGAACGTGATGGATCAGGAGATGCAGGTGAAACACCTGGAGTCGGAGAAGCAGGAACTGCAGGAGCAGCTGGACCTGCAGTACAAGTGGGTGGGGGCCTGGGTGTGGGGTCAAGGCAGGAGTTGGCAGGGGTCGGGTCACGGGTTGGGGTTTGGGGTCTGCCTCTCTCCTGGGGGTTGGGTGGGATATGGATGCACTCCTGGATGCTGCCCTAATTCGTAGGCAGTCAAGAGGGGCAGACACTGAGGCCCCTGGAGCCAGGACCATGATCCCAGAAAGTGTCCTCATGTTCCTAGAGCAGAGTGGGGCAGCAACTTTTTCACACTCGTTCCTGGAGAGGGCTTCTGCGGATTTTACTTTATTTTTTGAGACAGGGTCTTACTCTGTCATCCAGTCTAGAGTGTAGTGGCAAAATCATGGCTCACTGCAGCCTCGACCTGTTGGGGTCAAGCGATCCTCCTGTCTCAGCCTCTAGAGTAGTTCGGACTGTAGGCATTTGCACTACACCTGGCTAATTTTTTGAGATGGAGTCTCGCTCTGTCACCCTGGCTCAAGTGCAGTGGCACCATCTCGGCTCACCACAACCTCTGCCTCCTGGGTTCAGTGATTCTGCTGCCTCAGCTTCCTCAGTAGCTGGGATTACAGGCACCTACCACCATGCCTGGTTAATTTTTCAACTGGCTAATTTTACAAAATGTTTTTCGTAGAGATGGGGGTCTCACTTTGTCACCCAGACTGGTCTTGAGCTCCTGACCTCAAGTGATTCTCCTGCCTCATCCTCCTAGAGTGCTGGGATTACAGGTGTGAGCCACCGTGCCCTATTAAGGGCTAGATTTAAAGGGTAGCACCATGTGTCTTGGAGGTGCTGGGGATGTGGCTGGGAAGGGATGTCCAGGCACAGGGCTGGGCTCAGCCAAGGTACAGACGTGAGAGCCTTCCGTGGAGGTGCGGTCAGCACCTTCTAAGATGCCCAGCACCGGGGGCATCTCCTACCCAGCATTTAGGAGATGCCCAGCACCATGGGCATCTCCTAAAGAGTTTGACCATTCCCTCAGCAGATGTGGTTTTAGGAGAGTTCTAGTTTCGTAGTAGAGAGGAGAGGTCATTTCTGGGTGGGGCTCTGCCACAACTGCTCCAGGGCTGCGTGTTGCGGCCAGCAGGTGAAAGCTGTGGGTGCCGCTGCTATCGAGGACCTTGCAGGCGGCTTGGGCTCACTGTGCACCCCGTGCGGATGAGCAGACTGAGGCCCCAGAGCCAGCCAGCAGGGGCTGGGGCCCAGGACCTTGGGGTACCCATGCAGTGGCAGTGCTGTGTGGGGGTCTGTGCAGGTGGGGGTCCTGAACCTTGAAATGGGAGTGAGCGTGTGTGGGTCTGTGCTGGGGTGGATCTCAGGCTGAAGAGAATTGTTGGCCTTGCCACATGCCTGTTTCTGTATGTGATGTATTTTTTTTTTAATAGAAAATGGCAGGAAGCCAGTCAGAAAATCCAGGAACTCCAGGCCAGCCAAGAAGCGAGAGCAGACCAAGAGCAGCAGATTAAGGTGAGTTGCTTGTGTCGGGTGCCTTGTGGACATCCCTGTGGTGGTCTTGGCTCTCCTGCCCCTGTCGGCCTTTCTGCGTCGGTGCCGAGTTCCGTGGGCCTCCTGTGAGGTTTGCTGCTGCCCTGTGTGGTGGGCATTTTGCTGGGCACCAGGGATGCCATGGTGAATGAGGCAGATGCTGCTGCCCTCAGGGAGTGTGCATCCTAGAGGATGGAGACTAATCGGAGACACGGAGAGAAAATGTCCGAATGTACGATGATGTCAAGTGCTGAAGAGTGTGAGAAGATGATACAGGCATAGAGGGGCTGAGAAAACTGCCCACAGTTGCACAGCTGGAGCTGGGTCTCAGTCAGGGTGACCTACTCAAGCTCATGCTGTGCCCTTTCCCTGTGGAGGGCATGCCAGGGAGATGCTGACTCCGGATCCCTCTCCTAGCTCCTGTTGCCTGGAGAGCAGCCTCCAGACCCTGTGCTCCGGCTGTGCCCCCTTGGCCCCCCATGTACCCTCACCTCCATGCCTCATAACAGCTTTTCCTGGCTGCAGAGCTGACTGTCACCCCCAACCTAGCCTCTGCCATGTCACCTCCTGGTGGTGTTCCCTTGCCCCTCGTCCTCCCGTCTGCATCCCTCGGCCCACCTGTCAGGATTTGCTGGCCGGTGAGGCCTGGTGTCTGTCTTTTGCATCACTGTCTCTGCCACTTGACCTGGTACATTGCACAGAGATGGACTCCGTTAGTGTTTGTTGAATGACCGTCTGGTTTGGTCGTGGTTTCCTCCTGTGCCTGTTCAGTGACTTGCTGCTCACAGATGTCAGCTGTGTCCCAAGGAGACTGGGTACCATAGGGAAAAGCCTGTCCTCACTATTGGAAAGACTAAGCTGTTATACACGTGCTATTAGAGAGGCAGAAGTGGGCTTGACACGGGAGGGTGGGATGTTTCACCATGGAGTGTCACCTTGGGCCAGACTTGAGATAGACTTTTGCTTCTAGATAGTTCCCTGAGGGCAGGACAGTGGTGTGCACAGCAGCCCAGCGGTGTGTGGTGTGAATGCCAGCTCCCAGTGCGTGGTGGGCTGGGAGGACGGTGTTGGGAAGAGCTGCCCTGGACTAAATGCCGAGGCTCAGTATTGGAAGCAGCTTTGAGGGCCCTGGTGCAGCCCGGGAAGGCCTCCCAGAGGAGAATCCTGAGCCATGGAGGCTCCTGAGGACCTGGGGCAGTTTAGTGGAGGAACTTCCTGGCCTCAGTGACTTTACTTTTTACGGGATGCTTTTTTCTATAGCAGATTTAGGTTCACAGCAAAATGAGCAGAAGGTAGAGCTCCTGTGCACCCCTGCTCCCTGCCCGTCCCCCCAAAAAAAACACACACCGCCTTTCCTGGTAGAGTGGAGCCCGTGTGACGGTGATGAACCTGCCTGGACACATCAGTGTCAGGGAGAGTCCACAGGTCCCTCGAGCGTCTCTCCTGGAGTGGGACAGTGTATGGTTTGGGCAAATGTGAAATGTTCTATATTCACTGTTAGAGCGTCACACAGAAGAGTTTTACTGCCTAAAAATCCTTTGTGCTTCCCCAGTTAATCCCCAACTCTCTCCTTCTGAGCAGCTGACAATTCCGGAACTTTTGCTGTCTCTATAGTTCCCCCTTTCCCAGAATGTCCTGTGGTTGGATCCTGCAGTTCGTGTAGCCGTTGCAGACCAGTTTCTTTCTCTTAGCCGTGTGTGTGTGATTTTCTCCAGGTCTCTTCATGGTTCATTTTTCCCTTCTTTTCTGTCCCTGGCCTCCAACAGGATCTGGAGCAGAAGCTGTCCCTACAAGAGCAGGATGCTGCGATTGTGAAGAACATGAAGTCTGAGCTGGTGCGACTCCCTAGGCTGGAACGGGAGCTGAAGCAGCTGCGGGAGGAGAGTGCACGCCTGCGGTGAGGGGGCATGGGGGATGGAGTAGCCTGTAGTGAGTCTGGGTTTGTGCCCAGGAGCTCGCGGTGCATACCCCGTAGGGGCAGGGCTCCTGGGCTCTTGGCTTCATCCCCAAGATGAAGGGTGTGTGGCTATTTGAGCAACTCTTTGTGGCACTGCCAGGGAGATGAGAGAGACCAATGGGCTGCTCCAGGAGGAACTGGAAGGGCTGCAGAGGAAGCTGGGGCGCCAGGAGAAGATGCAGGAGGCGCTGGTTGGCTTGGAGCTGGAGAACGAGGTGAGGGTCTGCGTGGAGTGGGTCGTGCCCTTGCGTGATGGGGTGGGAGGCAGAATCTGGCAGGTCCCCAGAGAGGTCCATGCCTTATCCCCAGAGCCTGTGAACACGGCACCTTCCCTGGCAGGGCGATTCAGGTCACAGGTCAGCAGGCCCACAGTGGGGAGGGGCTCCTTGGCCAGCCTGGGGGCTCAGAGTGACATCAGAGAGACTTGGCAGCTCCTGCTGGGTGTGGAGATGGAGGAGGGGCCACAAGCCAAGGAACATGGGTGCCTCTGGAAGCTGGAAAGAGGAAGGAAGTGGTCTCACCCCTGGAACCTGAAGAAGGAACTCAGCCCTGCTGACACCAGGATTCCAGCCCAGGGAAACTCATTTTGGATTTCTGAACTAGAGTACTATAAGATATTCCATTTGTAGTCCTTGTTTTGTTTTTTTTGAGATGGAGTCTTGCTCTCTTGCCAGGCTGGAGTACAGTGGCGTGATCTTGGCTCACTGTAACCTCTGCCTCCCAGGTTCAAGCAATTCTCCTGCCTCAGCCTCCTGAGTAGCTGGGACTATAGGCATGTGCCACCACACTCAGCTAATTTTTGTATTTTTGGTAGAGACAGGGTTTCGCCATGTTGGCCAGGATAGTCTCAATCTCTGGACCTCTTGTACCACCTACAGCCTCTCAAAGTGCTGGGATTACAGGCGTGAAGCACTGTGCCCAGCCTGCTTGCTGGGATTCATACCTGAATTTATGGGCCCAGGAAGGAGTGAGGAATGAAGTGCACAGTGTGAGGCATGAAACGTACAGTGTGACTTCTGCAGTTGGGGAAGAATAACCCGGCCTCTTCCAAGCAGACTTGGAGCATTTAGTGGCCAGCTCAGAGATAAGGGTAGGCTCTCCTGAGAGGTCCGGGACTCAACGCCGTGATCATTATTGTCAGTCTTATGTGATAATCCTGTGGCAGGCGATGACAGGGTCCGTGCTTTTGTTCTTTTCAGAGGCTGCTGGCCAAGCTGCAAAGCTGGGAGAGACTGGACCAGATCACGGGCTTGAATGTCAGGTAGGGAGGGGGCAGGTGCCTCGGGGTCCCACCTTCTCTGAAGGGTCACTGGGGAAGAGCAGAGTCTGCCTCCTGCTCACGGGCACTGTCTCTAAAAGGCTGGTGGGGGCCTTTTGTCCTGGGCTGCTCAGGTTCAATGAGGCCTTTCCCAGTGGGTGGGGCAGTGGAGCTGAGCGACTCTTCCTGCTGAAGCCTTAGTAACATATTCATTGAGTAGCAGAATATCCACAGCAAACCAGTGGCAGGTGTCTGATTGCCCTGCATTGTGGCGCTTTGTGAAAGGACTCTTTCTGGTGTATCCTGAGGAAGAAATTGCTTTTGGAGAAAATCATTTATTTTAGGGAACTGTAACCAGTGGAGATGAGCTGAGTTTTTAGAGTTCAGAAAAACCCACCATATTACGCTGTTCTTGCATCGCTATAAAGAAATACCTGAGAGTGGGTGATTATGAAGGAAAGCTGTGGAATTGGATCACACTTCTGTAGGCTGTGCAGGAAGCGTGGTGCTGACACCTGCTCAGCTTCTGGTGAAGCCGCAGGGAACTTTCAGTCCTGGCAGAAGGTGAAGGGGAAACAGGCATGTCACATGGCAAAAGCAGGAGCGAGAGAGAGAGAGAGAGAGAGAGAGAGAGACAAACAGAAAGAGACAGAGAGAGCAAGAGAGTGCATGAGAGCAGGGCTGGGAGGGAGGTGCCACGGACTTCTTAATGATCAGATCTCATGAGAACTTACTATCATGAAGACAGCCCCAAACTGTGAGGGATCTGCCCCCATGATCCAAACACTTCCCACCGGACTCCACTTCTAGCCCCGGGGATTACAATTCAACATGAGATGTGGGCAGGGATGGAGATCCAAACAGTTCTCACCCACCATAGTGGAAGACTATTGTCTGGTGCTTGGAGCAGCCTCTTCAGCCAGTCTGTGCCAAGCTGAGTGCCAGTGCATGGGTGGAAGGATGTGAGGTGGAGCTGCCGGGGGACCACCCCGGGTGCTGGGGATGGCATTCTTACAGACAGGAGAGCGGGACTGTTCCCAGTTCTGGTCCTGTCTGTCCTACCCCATCCATCTCAAGGGCCTGTACTCATCTTTCTCCAGCAGCGGCTTGGTTGGCTCCCGCCCTTCAGCTGCTGGGCCCCTGCAGGTGACCGCCTCTTGGCAGCTCTGGCCTGGGCCCCACTTTGTGGTTGCCCTGGTGTGCCATGTCTCGGGAAGGTGCAAGAGTGATGCTTTTGAGGGAGTCATCGGAGCCTGGGGCTCATGGCCTTGGTGCTGGTGCTGAGGCCGCCTCTTGTGTTTGCTTGTGAGATTTCAAGGCTTCCCGCTTCCTGCCTGTCTTTCCTGCTGCTCTGGAAACTAGGCGGAGACTGAGATGAGACTCTCTGAAAGAGCTGTCCTGTGACTGTACCATTGAACTGCTGGTTCTGGATTCCACTACCTTCTCATCAGCATTACTGGCTTCAGTTCTCAGTCACCTGAAAATGCCCCTTCATCTTCTTTGAGCTTTGCTAAATCAGAGTGTGGCCTGGGCTGCCATCTCCTTTTGAACTCCCCCTGTAGAAGACGGACTTCTGCAGGGCCGGCCTCAGCGGGGCCTAAATGCTTTGTGCTTCTGTCTGTTCACTGGGTTTATTAATTGCTTGTAAGGCGACCCTTCTGCTTCCAGGGATACTCTGGCCAGATGAGAAACCTCCGTGACTTTTTTCCTGTGAGGGACATCAGAGGCCCCCTCGTGCCTGATGGGCCTGGCCTTGTTGGACGGTCCAAGTGTGCAGTTTGCCCTGGAGCACTTAGCGTCAGTCAGGCACACAGACCTGGCACAGCTGGCTGCTGTCTCTGGTTGGTTACAAAGAACTGCTGCTCTATCAGCCTTTGCCCTGTTCCCGCATCTGAGTGCCTTGCCTGGGTGTAGCCTATGTGAGGGCAAGCTGGCCTGGGGTGCTGGTGGCTGGTGTGAGGGTGAGCTGGCCTCGGGGTGCTGCCTGGGTGTGGCCAGCATGAGGACAAGCTGGCCTGGATGCTACCGTCCGGTGTGAAGATGAGCTGGCCTGGGGTGCTACTGGCCAGGCCCTGCATGGGGGAGAGGAGGGGTCGGTCTGCAGGGCTGGTGGAAGTGGGCTGCCTGTGTCCACTTCCAGCTTAAAGTGGGGTGGGAGGCAAGTGGCATGCATATGTGGCACCCTGCAGCTTTGATGAGGAAAATAGATAGTACTTTGGGGCTGGGGGGGCTGGATTCAAGTCCCCTTCCCACCGACAGTAAGACCTGTTTCAAGACACTGCGCTGCTCTGGGCCAGTGTTCTCTTCATTGAAAGGGGAACACGGAGTTCTCCTCCCCGCTGCGTGTGAAGATCAGATGCCATCGTGTACTTGTGGAGGGCCCTGTGAGTAGGAGACGGCTGGTGCGAGCGACCTCTCTGAGCAGTCAGAGGCTGATGTCCAGGAAGGGATGGAGCCATCCTCGCTGTGGGGGTTGACCCCTAGTTTCCTGCGTTGGCCTTGGCCGTGGGTCTGGTAGAGGGCAGGTTTCCCCACGTGCTCGGTCACCTGCCGAGCCTGGGCCCTTTCAGGGCTCCCCACCGCTCCTTGTGTTTCCTGTGCACCACAGGGTGGGTGTCTGAATGTGGTTCTGATTCATGCTCGATGTTAGTGGGGGTAGCACCCATGTCACAGTCCCTGGGAATGCAGGCTGGGGGTACTGAATGCGGCTCATAGAGGGTTTGGTAAATATGTGCATTTCTGGCTCATAGAGGGTTTGGTAAACATGTGCATTTCTGGCTGGGCACAGTGGCTCACGCCTGTAATCCCAGTGCTTTGGGAGGCTGCAGCAGGGGGATCGCTCTAGCCTACATGTTTGAGATCAACCTGGGCAACATAGTTGAGACCTGTCTGTACCAAAAAAGAAAGAAAAAAAATAGCTGTGCTCAGCAGGGCACACCTATAATCCCAGCTACCCAGGAGACGGAGGTGGGAGGATCACCTGAGCCCAGGAGGTCAAGGCTTCAGTGAGTCGTGATCACACTACTGTACTCCAGTGACAGAATGAGACCCTGTCTCTCAAAAAGAAACAAAAACAAAGTGCATTATTTCTGGGTAAACCACAGATACACTGGACTTTCTATTTTTAGGGACCAGATTTGGGGCAGCTGTTAGGGATTTCTTAAGCCCATGTCAGGCAACATTGAATGTGGCGATGAAGTGGGCAATGGGGACGCAGATGCAGTGAGAAGTTGGGGCCTCGGGGCCATAGCTGCCGCTTGTGGTCCCGTGGGAGGGGTGAGCACACTTGCTGTTCATGTGTGGAGACACGTGTGCTTCTATGGGCGAGCTTGGGGATCCCCTCCCCTCAGCCGTGGGGACCTGAGGTGACATCACATATCCCGAAAGCAGAGGGCTCAGCAGCTGGGAGTGCCCTGGGCCCGTGCCAGTGGGCTGGCATCTGCTTACCTTCAGGCCCAGGCCTTGCTGGGATTTGGGGCTTGCCGAGGCCCCAGGCCCCAGGCCCCGTGGGTGCAGAGCAGCTGCTGCCACTAGGTGGTGCCCCTGCCTTGGTGATCCTTCCCACAGCCATTTCTCTTGGGTCTCTTTGGCCTTGTGTTCCCACCACCCTCCCACCATGGGACTTGCTTGCTGACACCAAGGTTGTAGTTGATGGGGATGTAAGGGGCCTGTGGCCACTATTCCTGCCTGCCTTTAGTGGGGTGCTTCTGGCTGTCTCATGCCTGCCCGGTTTCTGACCAGCATCCTGGGGACCCTCAGGCCCCAGGGCTATGAGCCCCTGCTGTTGAGGCCAGGTGTCCTCTGCATGGGCCCTTCCCTAATGACAGGACTCTGGTGTCCTGCAGTCCTCAGAGGGCTCTTTGGCCTCACCCCAGACTTGGATGTACCCTGCCTGAGCCCCAGGGGAGAGTGGCCTGCTCACCCTCTTCCCCATGTGAGGCTTCTTACGTCTTAGGAGAGGAGGCTGGGCGAGTTGGCTGGGGTGAGTCAGTGAAACCATGGGAAGACCCTGTGGAACGAGGTCCTTATGTGTCACGCAGGCCTGGGCACATGCGACATGTCCAGCACACAGGGTCATGCAGGTTGTGGGCATATTAGTTTCTACAACTTTGAAGTCACAGTTAGGAAGGGGATACTGCGTGTGGATGAGCCTGCGTGAATACACGTGGGGAAGGGCAGGATGCCAGTGCCAGTAGTGTGATGTTGATACGCTTTCCCTTAGGGTGTTGGGCATTGGGCTGAGGGAGTTAGCAGCAGTCTGGCACAGGAGGAGGAGGTGTAATCGAGAGAGGCCAGTGGGAAAGATGTGTGAGAGTGGAGGCCATCTGGGAATGCAGGGTGCTTCTCTTTGGAAAATCACCTGTTTCAGTAGAATGAAAAAGGGGTGCAGGCCATCTCTGTAGGCAAGCAGCACAACCATTGATAACAATCCCAAACGCATTTGTGGTTGAAAATTCTCAGCAAGCTAGGAAGAGAAGAGAAATTCCTCAACCAGGTAAAAGACACCTGCGGAAAACCACAGCTGATATAATATAAGGGTGAAACTGACTGCGTCCCTGACACAGAGACCAGGCAGGGTGTCTGTTCCCGCCACCCCTGGTCGCACTGTGCGGGAGATCTTCATCAGTATAATTAGGCAGGCAAAAAGAAAAGGTAGCTAGACTGGAAAGGAGGAAGTAAACCTATACCTGGAGACAACATAATGATCTGTAGAAGTTTCCAGAGTGTCAATGACAAGCCAGTAGGACTAAACAGTGAGGTTTACAGGGTCACAGCATACAAGGACAGTGTACCAAAATAGGTTACGTTTCCGTATGCTAGCAATGAGCCACTGGAGTACATACCACATATGACGGCATCAAAGTCCATGAAAATACTCAGGGATGCATGTAAGAAAATCTGTGTAAGATTTGTACACTCAGAAGCTTCAGATGCAACTGAGACATTAAGATCACCTAATATAAAAAAATAGAGACATCATAAGGGGAAAAAGGAACTCTTTTCCGTTCTGCTCTCACACAGCCACTGACTCGGTACTTCTGACATCAGATACTGGAAGGTTCCCCACACACCAGCCAGTTCTCCAGGGGATACCAGCT